TATCAGCTCATCTTTATAGAACATTTGATGACTGCAAACTAGACAGCAACGTGTTACCAGCCATCAGTCTACCGTGTAAGATAGCAGCCTCCCTCAGATCTATGTCATTCTTAATATATTTTCCATCTTGGGGTCCTGCTGTCATAACTCCTTTGTGTTATTGATCCATTGTTTGGTCTCCACTGCTCATTGGCGCACCATCTAATATGAGAACATAAGAAAATAAGGAGTCTGCAATAGGCCGGTTGGCCTGTGCATGGCAGCTCCTGTCGAGAGTTACTACCACTCTCTATCATTCATGAATCTATCTAGCCTCCTTTTGAAACTTTCCAGCGTTCCAGCACTTACTACAAAGTTGCTAAGCTTGTTCCACTCGTCCACCACCCTATTTGTGAACCAGTTCCTTCCTATCTCCCTCCTAAACCTAAACTTATCCAACTTAAACCCCTTCTTCCCCTTCGTTATTAAAATAAAATGGACTACACGCATTTAAATTAAAGTCAAACACCGATTTGTTCCAGTTTTTTTTCAATTTTCATGACTTGTAATGGAATATTTGGATTAAACTGACTGGACTACCCTACTTATATATCTCACCTTAAGATTAACCTTCCTAACGTTACTTTGGGGGGTTAAACTAGGCTAGACTAGGTTAAGTTAGGTTAGATTAGATCAGGTTGCTAATTTGTGTTAAGTTAAATTTGGTTAGGGTGGTCTGTCTTTGGTGAACTAAGCTGGGGAGGAGGAGTCAATCTTCGGGGGATTCAATGGTCTTTGAATCAGTAAACATTGGCGTCATTACTTCTGGAATTAAATCGAATGAGATAATTTGATATATATCTAAATTGTTATAAATATTTGATCTTTAGAAGTCACTGTGTATCACCGCATATTAACTGAACAGTCCTTCTTTGTGTGATTTCTACAATATGTGCGGGGAGATACGATAGAAGTATTTAAATGGGTGAAAGGAATCAATAAAGGTAATATAGATAAAGTTAACTCAAAATATCCGAGCAGGATAGGACTCGTAGCAACGGGTTTAAGTTGGATAAATTTAGGCTTAGGAGGGAGATAGGAAGGAACTGGTTCACAAATAGGGTTTGTAGATGAATGGAACAAGCTTGGCAGCTTTGTAGTAAGTGCTGGGATGCTGGAAAGTTTTAAAAGGAGGCTAGATAGATCCATGGACATTAGAGAGTGGTAGTAACTCTCGACAGGAGCTGCCATGCACAGGCCAACCGGCCTATTGCAGACTCCTTATTTTCTCACGTTCTTATGTTCATCAGTATTCTCAAAACGAACCATAGTTGTGTAGTCGTTCACGACTAAACATCTCAAATCTATCTTAAGTAACATAAGGTAATATATGGTTAACCTTGCTGAAAGTGTTTTACTTGAGATTCGGCAAATACGTCTGAAATAAATTGACTGGTGTTGACATCATTATACAGTATATTACTACGCTTTCATAACTAATTTATTTTAACGCGTTGTCTAAATTAGTACTGTACTTACACTAGATATCAACCATTAAAGATGCAAAGAGATAGATCGACATATATTTGACTTATGGTCATTATAAATAAGACTTACAAAGGCTAGCTGGCATCCGGGAACTGTGGTGTCACCCGGGTGGCAACAAGCACTGAAAAGGCTAAGCACCTCCCAGCATCTGATGCAACACAACACTGCATTACTTCATCTCCTGTGTACTGAGGGCGGCGGAGGGGTACGTGAGGGGCGGGGCGGGCAGAACAAGTAATAGAGGCAGCTGGGCTGGCAAAACTGGAGGTCGGTTGTCAGGTTAGTGCAAGATGATGAGAGGACAAGGTAATGTTGCATCATCCAGCATCCATTAGTATCCCGTTAACAAGATGAAGAGCGTCATTTTTAAAAATTTACTGGGTATATCAGACAATAAAAAGGCTCACTCACTCCTTTCATACTATGTATATTAGCAAAAAGTCGTTAATCAGATACAACAAGCAATTCAAGACCCCTTTAGTAGTTTAACACTGCAGATTGAACACCACTGTTAATATTACTCACATAACCTGAGATAGTAGAGCTAACAGCAAGAGCACCACATCCATGTCTGACACAATACTGCTACAAAATTATGATCTGATCTTGAACGTAAAGACAAAAGTTTATATGTTCCATTCAATCCAAATCTTTGGCATGGTATATGTTACACGCCAATAAATAATAAACTATTAATAATCATTCATTTAATATGTTAAATTCACGAATAAATTTATCATGATAGCGAAAATATAATGTTTTACAAGACTTACAAATGTTTATATGACCCGACAAATATAAAAATGCTATTTGGGAGTTAATGATTTGTCTTGTTTACAATCCCTTAATGTTATGTTCCTTGGCGTTCGGCAGGTTACTTTGCTGAGGAAATGAACCCTGACCTACGCCAGCACTACAGACCTAAATAACTCTTTAACTTCTTCCAAACATTCTGTGCAAATAAACCTAACATGCTTGTTATTATCAGAGCCTGAAATGCTTTAAATATCTCCTCAGTTATTCCTAAGATTCCCTTGTGGTAGTCTAATCTGAAATTATGGCCTGTAAGGACACCAGCTTTGTTGCCTGGGGACTTATTGCAGGAACAAGAGGTGCTTCGTGGCATTTATTTATTTATTTATATATTAATTTACTTGGATGTGCGATTACTTACTATATGTGGCAAGGTTGACCGACATGTCTCAGGCCGCAGGGATACAGTTACACGCTTCTCGCTGTCTTCCCTGAATTACGATTTTTGTCCAGCTTCTGGGTAGACATACTTTTACCCGTAAATGTAGTGATTTATCTGTTCCAGTAGTGGTAGAGGTGGTGTGGTGTACAGCTAGGCTCTTGAAGGGGTAGTGCGGGTGTTGTCCTGAAGGGGGAGGGGCAGGTGTCAGGTGCCTCCCTCTATAGTTTATGGTACTACAGTAGTTATTTATGCGCTGTTAACTAATTGTTAATTTTCCATGATACAACTATTACTGTGAGCATTACTGTATTACAATAATAATTCACGACTTGATGATCTAGTTACACCGCAGTGACATTTGTTGCTCTAGGTACCAGGTCAGTTATAGTACTTTCAGTTGGTCTTGGTATTTCTACACTATATCACCAGGTGTTTCTGTAGTGGGTATCTCACGGTCAACACTAACAGATATCTCTGATTAATTGTTCTTCTTTCTACTTTTATTTCCCTCGACTTGGCGATGTAAAGCAACTGATACTTAGCCATTAGACGGTTCACTCAAACTAACAAAGATGATATTTTCCCTCAACTTCCGACATAACGCGGCACTGATAAAAATAGTCTCTTCATCAGGTAACCTTGGTGAAAACCTGATATAAACTGCCTGAATCTTAAAGTTCCTCACGCGAACTCTTTAGAATGACGAATATTTCTTTTGTTGAGCCCAGTGTAAAAGTTTTAGATTACCCCTGCGGTCATTTGAGACTAAGGTGAAAAGGTGTGAACCCACTTGGACGATCGTGTCTGTTTAGTGCGATTTTTACCATATAAGTTAAATGATCAGGTTAGGTTTGGTAAGATGAGGTTAGTACCCCTCCTGTTTCAAATAACCCCGTATTCCTCACAGCTGATTTGACCATATAGATATAAAAACCTAATTTTATTGAATGTTTGTTTGTTTAGTGTAGTTATGGAACTTATGCAAGTATCGAGTTTTGACAAAAGTAATTAGTTGTATTTAAAACCGACTTTATAATGTTAATGACCAATTCCTGGCATCAAAAGACTAAAGTAAAACTCGATTGAATCCAAAACTGTTTCTTGTAAACACCAAATCATTTGAATATTATTAACTTACTGGAGAGAGAAAGTTGAATCCGTTTCCCAAAGTAAAATTCATCATCAAAGAATCTACAATATTCACTTTAATATCTTCATTAATATGCTCAATATATAATGAGGACGTCAGATGCGTGTAGGCCTATATCCATACTCATGATTTCCCTGGTAATCTTTAGCACTCCACTGACATTATGTGCACAATTATAAAACAATAGAGGTTTATAGTGCTGAATGTATGAGTAAATATCTTGGGGCCATAACCATTGTATATTAAATCATATGGAAACTGAGCTCTGCTACAGACACCACTGCTTTCTTTATCTAACACAGTGCACCACTAGTTATGTAGGCCAAAGCTCTTGTATTTTGTAGGTTGATGGTTAGATGTCTCGAGATCTACCTTGATAACGTCTTGCTCTTCTTTTCACTAGGCTGGTCCTGCAGTTGACTCATTAAATTGTCAAAACACGGACTGACAGGTATGCCTCTAAATCAGTACTGTACCGAGAGTATCTACCTTTAAAGCCTTTCCTGCAGACCTGAATTTGTTGCAACTAAAATGAACAGGATGGCTGAGTATTGGAACTTGTCATGAATATCTACAAGTAGAATAACCTAAAAAAAAACTGAGTGAACCCAAACCTTACTAGCATGGTTAAGACACACTAGCAACTATATATGCTCAGTACTAACTAATAATGTTAGTTCACAATCATGGTTATCAGACACTGTCACAGTTAAGTATGGGAAGTACTGTACACACTAACATATAACACCTAGTTAACATGGAACTGCCATTAGTCTACCTAAAAGCCTGTCAGTCTGGTTTAGGGTCACATGGTTTGGGATGCTTTTCACTCTATTGCCCGACTACAGTGGTCACAAAAAACCACCTGGCAGGCCTAGAAATAAGACACAAGACAGTAGTGCGCCGGGTTAATGTAACAGCCACTCAGCCAGTTTGTACACACTAGAACGGATTAACACACTTAAGTACTTACTGTAATAGCTATACTGATTCTAAACCTGGTCAAATTTGTGATAAATTACCTCAATAAAAGTAAAACTAGTTATTAACATTCAAAACATTTTATATGATCACAAGTTGTCATATAGATTCTTATATTTTAGAAAAGTACAGTATGGGAAATAAACGTTTTTCATATCACATTTATTGGATTTTTTTAGTTACATTTTAATAATATAAATACTCCATTCCCAGTATACAGCATTATATAATCTAGTGTCGATAGATATTGTTCATTACACAAATGCAGTGCACTGTATCACCACTAAATAAGATTCCTTTCCCACAAATAATTTATTATGTCGTGTATAAGACATGTATATTAATACTCTGTACTCACCTACTGTACACAGAGTTCTCATGAACACAACTATAACCTTAATTCAGTATAATGAAAAAAACTCATTACCAGACTACTTAGAATAATACATAGCAAACATTAAGCCTCATCAAAAAACAAACGTACTGCACCATAAACTTAACTAACATCGTGTCATGAAAGGAATACTACTACTGTGCTGTTCCGTCACATGTGAGGCAACTTCAAGATGTTGTGTTATTAACCATGACTTAGGTGTAATATTATTTGGGTAAAAGGATTCCTCAAAAGATATATTATCAACCTTAATCTAAGTACAGTATAAAATAATGTTAAAGAAAATAATTTGAAACTCCAATCATTTTCACTCTCATGTACCATCCCATTAACCAAACACATACATCTTCTCATATTTTGCAAAACTATAAGAATTAAGTACCAGATACCAACCAAGGAATAATTGACATATCTGGCCTTCAATGATGTCAGAATATACATTGTTTACAAGTAAGCAATCATGTATAAACTTTATATTTCATGTAGAGTATACATAAGAAAGCAGTTATGTGTGTATAGGTATAAAGGTTAGTACTGTATGCATGTGCGTATACTGATAACATAAATACCTTGATAATTGATAAAAGGATAAAATCTGTAAAATTATTTTTGGCTTTACAGTAAAAAAGAAATCTGTTCATTCATTCTCAAATTGCTAAGGTAAGAAAATATAATATTTTATGTTGCACCTTCACTTGACTGTCCAAACAGGAATACTGTATCATGTTTCCTGTCACAAAATATACAATGGAATAACATGTATTACCTACAGTATTTGTAAACTAATACTAACTTGATATTTTGGTACACAATTACAGTACAGTACAGTACATCAATGGTTAATCATAAATATGGTAAAGCAAAAATATATAATTCCCTCTACCTGAAAACCACGTACAATATACCGTCTAATTATGAACTACGCAACACTACTTCACCATCTGAATCCCAATGTCAGCTTCTATTAGTGAATATGGAATATTATACATTCTTGTTTCATAAATAAGGAAATTCATCTCCCTTATAGTGTATATTTAATTTCCATACCAATCATGACTCATACCTTCATGACAAAATATCCCTCCTCCTTGTGACAGTCCTGGTACTGTACTAAGACATTATGAGGGACCTACACTAGACCCTTGACTCTGAAGTAAATCTGACATCCTGGCTTTTTAGAACCACAATCAAATCAACCAAAAACATCAATTCATTCAGAAGAGCAGTGCATAAACCAGGTGAATTTTGAAACAAACCAATAGCTTTCTCAGGTCACTATTTTTTTTCCCATACTCAGGGATTGACAATGAATCATATAAGAGCATAAACACCTATTACTGTCAAAATAAATGACCATATCCACACAATAAAGTTACATACAATATACTGTATTGTTCTCCTGCTATACCTCAGGGAGAAGACAGAAAAAAATCAAACAGAACAACCTTATAATGACTATCTAAGAAAACACTCGGTTTACATCTTTAAGTATATAATTACGATGAAAGGAGGTCCTGATATCTAGACAAGTCTTCACCGTACTGCACTAGCTTCCTTTTAGATGGTGAGTCTGACAGTGTAGGTTTACTTATTGAGTGGCTGGAGGAGGTCAAGTACTTGGTTGATATCCCCTTGTTTTATTTCTAGAAGGTTAGTGAGCCAGCCACCCTCATTGTTATAGCCCATTGACTGCATCTGCTCCAGTGAATGCTGGATGGCAGGATCTGTAGGAGAAGCAAAAGGCATTATTTTTTAGGATAAATACTGGGAAGCAATTTCTTAAGTTTCATATCAATCATTGTGCACCCGATAAAGCTCATATATAGCAGATAATGGAATAACGTTAATAAACAGGTGTGGTACAAGGTGAAAGTATCACACAGACACATTCAGTAACTCATTATATCAGTCCTCATGTTTCTGTATTACTCTTCATAAGCATATAAACTCTTCTTAACACTGGTCAAAACATACAACACATTAAACAGCCTTCATCCTTTGAGGTAACCCAAGAAGGAATATTAAAATGCAGCACTGTTAACTGACCTCATTGGCATTCTAAAATATTAATACTTTAAATTTTCTGTTTAGAAGATCCTGCATATACAGTATCTGACTGTACACACCAAGTGTACGTACATTAAGTAAGATACAATCTTGCTGCTCCAAACAGCCATACAGTCTTAGTACATTAAACAACTATTTACCTAATGACCCAATGCCTCCTTGTACAATGGACTAACCCCTCAGAGGTCATTACAGATATCATGCCTCTGAGCTCATGAGATATGGCTATGCAAGGTTACTGTTACTAGTGGGTAACATGACAGCTTGAGCATCACTCATTTAACATAGGAGAAACTTGTCCTCTGAGAAACTTTCAAAAAGATCTTTCAACAATGTGTATGCAGTCTTTATAGCCAACCCAAAAATAACACTCTTAATAGTAGCACCTGTTACATACTTGGATGAACTGGTTGTTCAGCGGGAGGTGCTGCTGGTCTACCACTGGCCTGTGACTCTGGGTTGGCATTGTTGACCAGTGTCCAGTCTTCCGTGTCTGATGATGCCTGCTCAGCTTCCATCTGGCCTCCGGAATTTTGGTTGTTGGGTTCTGCAGGACTGCACACTTCCATTATTTCAGGTATAACAGCTGCAGGTGCTTCCTGACACTTTGGGAGATCCTCAGTTTGTACTTCCATATTAGCACTTGCTCCAGATGCTAGGGACTGTGCAGGGGAAGATGGTTCTTGGGAAGGAGGTGTAGAAGCTGTTGGACTCTGACAGTTCTGTACGTCATCCTTGCTCAAACTGCAACGCTGGCGAATTCCATTGTGCTCAACAGACACTTCAACATCAATGCCTAGAGGAAAGTATTTAATGTTTGATAAATGAATCCTTCACTTAGATCAAAGACTAAATGGCGGAAATCAAAAAACAATAAATGTCCAGCAAAACTATGTTCTCAAAATTCATGGATGGTTCATTGCCTTGCTTTCGAAATTACTACATTTATGTAGCAGAGGTTGTACCGTAATACAATCTCATCAAAGGGTATAAGGTTGGTCACAAGGAGCAAGACTCAACAGTTTCCACTGCCCCATTGCTCAGGGCAAATGAAACACCACTGAGTGTGTGAATGTGAGACAAGTCAATCTCCACCCCATAAGAATGGCAAAAATGTAATAAAATCAAATATGATTTGTTTAATCAAAGTTTGAGGAACTAGATGCTGAAATTTGCTCAGTTGACTCCCTTCACTGATATAGCTGGTATTTTAGGTTTATTTTTCACAAGATACTGTATCTAAATTGATTTAGCCACACCTCTGAGTGCCTTTGAAGACAAAAAACTAAGATCAAAACAATACACTTATAAAAAAAAATTGAAAATATTATTGAAGGTTTACAAGTATGTACTGTAGTATGAACATCCAACAAAGTAGTAAACTTACCCATTGGATCTAGCATAGTTGCCACAGTCTCGCCAACACTTTTTAAGAACTCGTCTCCTGCGGTCCTGTCTGATTCCTTGCCGGTGACCTTCTCCTGCTGATCGCTTCCTGGTCCCTTGGGCTGACTCTGCTTCTGAGAATCCCCATCACAGCATGAAGAGGAAGAAGAGGAGGACGATGATGATGAGGAAGAAGTTGTGGTCTTAATACCGGGTGCTTGGTGGCCAGTCCAAGCTGTCCAGATCCCACGCATCACATTGGCAACATGCTCTGAAGCCATCTGTGAAGCAAACTGATGTGCTTGTTGTGCTGCTTCGTGAGCCATTTGTGTGGCTTCATGAGCCATTTGTTGGGCTTCTTCTGCTGCTTGTTGGGGAATGGGTATACCATCTTCATTCAGGAAAGGGCAGGATGTCCAGGGGAACTCATCTCTCCTATTGTTACTTCTACATCCTTGTTGGTGTTGCTGTTGGTGTTGTTGATGTTGCTTTTGGTGTTGCTGTTGATGTTGCTGTTGATGTTGCTGTTGGTGTTGCTGCTGCTGTCCTGAAGCTTGCTGCTGTCCTGAAGCTTGCTGCTGCTGTCCTGAAGCTTGCTGCTGCTGTCCTGAAGCTTGCTGCTGCTGTCCTGAAGCATGCTGCTGCTGTCCTGAAGCTTGCTGCCGCTTTTGTCCCGAGGCAGAACTCATGAACTGACTCTGTTCACATACTCCTCCATTTCTTCCTCCCCAGTTCTTACCCCACCAGGTTCCCCATCCTCCCTGGCGTCCCCGGCCTCCACATCCTCTCCTGTTGCCAAAGCGGCCACCATGACCACCCCAGCCTCCCACACCACCAGTAAAACCAGAAGTGGAGCTGGAACTGTAGGTGCCACACCCTGGGCCACCACCATGCATCTTGAACTGTGATGAGAACTGACCAGGTGCATCTTCACTTTCCTTCCAGGTGAACCAAGGACTTCCCTAAAAAAATAAATAAATACATAAATAAAATAAAAAATAAATAGAATATTCAAGCAATATTTTTCCAACGCTTAAAAAATATGAACTGCTTCCTTCCCAAAATGAAAAGTAAATCACTCAAATTTGTATTACAATTGGATTTAAATTAATGATGAACTGAACCTGTAGGGACTGAGAGAACCATATAAACAGGTGGCACAGATGGGGATACAGTACACCTTTTCACATATCCGTTGAGACATTGTTACATAACTATTTCACAAATTTCATAACCGAATGACGGATATGTGAAAAGGTGTATTATATAGATGGGAAAACTTATGTGTTAAGTAGTGACCCTGTATACAAGAGGAAAGAAGAAAGATGAAAATTACAAAAATATGCTTGAGAACAATGTGTGGGGTGAATTGGAACACAATGAACTAAATTCAAAACGAAGAAGAAAAAAGTACCAGGTTTATTTGGGTAATAGGGATATACTGTATTGAGGAAATGTTAAGTGAAAAACAGCATTTGTAAATAAGGGATGAATCCTCAAATCTATTTTTATGAGCAATGGTGAAAGAAGAGATTGGTTTATTAAATTGAAGTGAAATCCACTATATCAGTCTTATTCTGTTTGAATTACAACACCTAAACTATTATTATATGTCCACCTTACAGCAGGAACCACCAATTCAGAAACTAAGTCTTTGAGAGTAAAATATTATTACCTGTACCATTAGCTACTAATTAAGACAAATATACCACTAAGCCAGGACAGGCCCTCCTATATTATACCTCCACTTTACCCCAGTCAAAGAAAATGTAACTTTCTTTGACCAATCTCAACTATTACCAACACCAGAACAGGAAAAAGTAGTCAAGAGTTTATAGCAAGTGAAGATATAGATTAATTTACAGTAAATACCAACAAGTGTATAAAAATTTATTTAAATCATTATCTATATTACTCTGATTCCTGCATCCCACTCAGAAAAACAAAATAGCCAATATGTAGTCGTCTAACCTTCACGTGTGGTTTAGGCATGCGCAGCATCTTGTGCTCGGGGTGAAGGCCCTTGACTTCACAAGCCCCACAGAGATCAAAATCATCACAGCTGACACAGTGGTAGCGGAATCCACAGATAGGACCTTCACAACCATCACAGGTAACACCTTCATGAACAGCTCCCTGCTGATTACCTGTACACAAGAAAAAAAGTTTGTCTATAGTTTACCTTGAGGGTCAGATACAGTGGGGTGGCTATAACGAATCTAATTGGTTCTAGAACCTTGTTCGTTATAGCATTCATTCGTTATAGGATTAATTCGTTCCAGGCCCCCAAATACAACCACTTAACACTGAAAAATATAATATAAAATTGTAAAAATTGTAGTGCATAAATAAGCATCTAAACCCCTGAAATAAAGAACATCATTAATACTTGTAATAAAAAAACAATAAATTAGTAAAAAAAAAGAAAAAAAAAGAATTTTTTTTTCTAAATAATGTTCGTTGTAGGAGTTTCGTTCGTTATAGCAATCTCAATTTTATAGGTAAAACCGTTCGTTATAGGAATATTCGTAGTAGGATCCGTTCGTTATAGCATACCCCACTGTATGTTACTGTTCAACACACTAAGTTTCATATTATTTTCTCAGTTAATGTCACCAATTACCAAGTACAGTAGTGAGTGACTATACTCAATCCCTTGGTAGTTTCTGCTGTCACTTGCAATACAACTATCCTTGTTGCAGTTAAAAAAAACATGTCCCCTGTGAGACCTTGCAGATAGTGATGTACTGTAGAAACTCACTACCTAGGCAGTTTCCAGTGCATTTTTCTGTCTAATATACTGTAATTCTATTCCTTTAATGGCTCTCTGTACATCATCATACTTAGCCAAATATGAATTACAGCAAGTTAGTTTGTGCCCTTTGCCTATGTCTACCCAACAGTAAGAGGGTGTAAACAGGTAAGTGGATTGCATTCTGAACGAATTAGTCAGACAATGTAGTTAGGGAGTCACCTGATATTGCTGATATATATTTAAGACCTCAGGTTACTGTCTCCATTACCTAAGAGTACACTCATTTTGTTAACAACAGCTTTGGTACCTTAAAATTCCTGCCAACAGGGAGTTAAAGGAAGGGTGTCATTAATCAGAAAACCATTTATTAACATTGCACACACTCCATTTGATCCCCACCAGAATTATCAACAATTAATGAAGGGCTTCAGGTTTACCAAGCATCATACATATACAAAATATATATAAGTACCATCAATAAATAAATAAAAATCCAATATGTATACCTTTCATTGCTCTAGTGCCAAAAATGTCCTAGAAAGTAAGTCACTAGAACTGTTGGTGTGGTAATTAATTATACAGACATACACAGGTGTTTTGCCGGGCCACCCTAACACCTGTCAGAGGTTGTACGCCACGTCACTACACAACACAAATCTATGCGCACTTTACCACACCCTCAAGAAACCCACACACAACCTGTCACAATGGCATGGAGCCGACATACTGACAGACTTGGCTCTCTCATGCTGTATTAACTCACCCAAGACTAACAATGAAAAACTAAGAAAGAAAAACTGACAAAAGTTTGCTCAAGGTTTCAACATTCAACAATGGTGTATTATGTCTACTGTGAAGAAAAACTGGGCAAGATATCATTACTCAGTGGGGTTTTTTATGAACCATGTGTTGGTTAATGGTATAAAACTTATGACTCACGATTGTTGTTATTCCACTTAGTACTGGTAAACTTTGGATCTGTAACAGGTGTTTGATAGTAATAAAATCTCATGCCAGAAGTGCTATATTTTGGTGGAGTTACCTGGCAAACCTTGATGCATGTGTCACAGTCTCTTCAAAACTGGCCTGACCGGTAATAGAAACAATAGGATTAAGCACCACTTCTTAATACAATGCCTCAGACGACTTCTTGTCACAGTAACTTACAAGTTCTCTCTCATGCAAACACACATACACACACACTCTTTCTCTCATTGCTACAGTACTCAAGAGCAGATAATAAATACCAGATTATAATTTAGTAATAGGGCACCAGCTTCTTAAGGAATCTTGTTTTATGTCATAGCTCAAGAAGGAACAACAGTTTAAGTATTTTGTTGTATATGACTGGTATTTAAAGCCCAAATTATCCCAGTATATAAATGTCAATCTTTGGCATTCATGTTCGAAGGTTACTCAGAATCCATATAAAGTCAAATTTCTTTACCAATAGATAAAAAACACAAACTACTGTACCGTATTATCATTCACCAAAAGAGCACATTTGGTTACTTGATAAGATATCTAACATCCTCTGTTCTACTCTAGTTAGCTTGAAATGAGGTAAATATGATAGAAATAAAAGTAATCGGACATACCAGGGGGGGAGTTGGCGTTGGAGCTGTGATTTGGCCTGTTGCCCACACTCACATTCAGGCGCAGCAGCTGGAGGTTCTGCCTGCTCAGACTGTCAGCAAGAGCTTCCATTAGTTCATCATCTGATGAGATTGCAATCATGTCTCCGTCAGCATCTGCAATTGTAAAGAATCATAACAAATCAATATTATCCAACAAAATATAAACACTGTACTGGTATCACTTTCATATCAAAATTCATATGGTCAGGGAGGTGGGGTGACACTGTACATGGTGATCTACATAACCCATGTTATACATATAAAAATTCTGTAAAGCAAATGCTTACACAGAAGTGAATGTTCAGTTTTGGAGTGTCCATGTGTATACAACAACATTTTGTAGCCATTTTCCACACTTGTGTAGGGTAGCCGAGATTACCTGATGGCAACTGTTGGGTTAAACCAGAACAGAATGTCCCCCCCCCCCCTCCTACTCACCACTGCAAACCCAGGGTACCAGCCCAGATAATGCAGCAGAGACCAGGGAATGGGCACAGTTCTGGTGACCTGGTTGCAAGCAGGCATGTTGAAGCAAAGTTTCATGACTGGGTGCCCTTCCATGCACCAACCTAATGGATGAAAACAGCTGGCAAGTCAGGGGCACAACTCCCTGAAGTAATCAAAGACTACCCACCTACTTTAAGCAATGTGTCCACTTCCCCATATTATTTTTAGTACGGTACATATGGTAAAAAAAAATCATATCGTTTAAATACTGCAACAAAAATGTAGTGTCAATATTCTGATCGAAAGATAGATCTGGCTAGTGCTCGGTGTGCAACCAGGTTTATGAACAAGTAAGTTGATTTAAAATACAAATGTTACAGTATATTGTCTTCAACTTTCATAATTCATACTGAAAGCTTTTAAAATATTTGTACTGTACGAGAATGAAAAAAAATCAATAGTGAGAAATGCTATATGTATATTGTGTTGTCATGTAAGATAAACAATCGAGACCCTACAATTGACAGATCAGCAACCTGGGAATTGGTCACAAATTTTGTGATGCCATATGGCAGCAGGGTCCACCATTAGACAACACATTATGCTTCCAATATCTTCCAGGTGGTAGTACCTCCCTGTTTGGTAGCTGCCTACTACCTACTAACTAAAAAAATACAATACAGGTTAAGGAAATTTCCGTCTTTAGAACGAATGGCCCCGTCTCGGCTGCAAAAATGACGGCAACTTTAAAACTACCCGCAGACATTCTTGGGTACATCCAGGGTGTCATCCGCAAATAATAGAGGACCACGAAATAAAAATCTACAAATTATCCGGGTGTACTGTACTTACACTGGGCAGATTTAGATGTCACTACAATTACTGAGCTCTCAACATATGTAGCTGTAACACTACCCCACCTGATTCAGTACTGTTTGTAGACTAGGTAATACAGGAAGTGGATGAAGATCTGAGTACAGCATACTAGACTGGGACAATCATCCAGATGACATAAAAATAATATCAAATACAATAATTGTAAATAGATAACATGTTTTCAAATCCAAATATTCTTTTCGACGATTCTTACAAACCAAAACAATAGTGGGACACATTTTTTTGTACCTCAAGGTCCAAAATCAAGGAGCCACACAAATGCATATAAAACTCCATCTGTCTGTATTGGATGGAGATAAAATCTTGGCTATTGAATTTGGGTTAAATTAAAAAATATATAAATAAATAACAAATACATTAATCAAGAACAGTTCCTTTAGTTTATAGAAAAATCATAAATACATTAATCAAGAACAGTTCCTCTAGTTTATAGAAAAAGTGAATCATGAAACCAAACTTAATTTATGTGTATTGTATAAAGAATGAAATCTAAGTGCAGGCTCAATCCTGAAACTTGGTCTAATGTTTTTACCTGTTACTAATCTGATGAGGACAACCTCAATTAATTTTCTATAATGCTAGAAATAAAGAAAAACAATATAATGAAGTTAAAAATTACAAGTATAAAGTTGTGATACCATGTATACCTTAGTTTCAGCCATTCCTAAATGTAACATGCTTGCTCTAAACATCTAATACATTCACTTATATGTGCCAGTGTTTCTTTTGTCACTTAAACATCAGTCTGCATTTCCTGTATCTGTTTTATTATCGACTTCTCTAGAGAATATATTTAACTACAATTATTTCCTTGATTTAAGGACCTTCTCCGTTGGATATATTTAACTGCATCATATTACCTTGCTTTATGGGTGGCAGTCATAAAAGGGGTCTTATCAAACACTTCCTCAAAATGCACTAAAATAACAACACTGAGACATCATATGAGAGGCATCCAACTAACCTGTCCATGAGATGGTGAGGTCCTTGTTTCCTAAGCAGAACACTGAAGACACTTTATCTCTCAAACAGCCAAAGTTTGTGGCCAAGGCTTCAGGAACACCAAATCTTCGTACCTCCTGTCGATCCCCACCTAAATCCAGGTAAACCTTGATACTAAAGCTTCTTTCATCTGACATGATGACTGATCTGAAAAGATATATTGTACAGTAGTCTGTGATATGAACATGCAATGTGCATTACAGTAGTATATACCATAAAATACAACAACACTCAGTAGAAATGTTTCCTGAACTAAAAGCAGCTTGGATGATGAATTCAGGCTAACAGACCATTGTCTAATACATGGAGAATCATCACTCGGGTACAATATGACCGCTCTCTTGAGAATGCACACTTTTAAATTCAACTTGTCTTTATGTCAAACTTCACAAAGCACAGGTTCACAGTGTCGTGATTGTGACAACTTCAGAGATCTTTTACCATGGTCTTCATATACTCTAATATGTTATTCATGTACTGTATTATTATAGACCCTTGTAGCCATGTGTTTCTGAATTTCTTGTTTTTCTTGTTATACTGTATATATATCATTAAGCAGTGCGTGTGTGAGGAAAGGATGCCAAGCAACGTACTAGACCTTCCCCCTCCTCCTTAATGAAAAAAAAAGTTTTCAGTCTTACTTAAGGAAAAAAATCTAAAACAGTCTCTCTATGTCTGAGGAACATGTCTATACATGTACTACAGTACAGTATCCAGCTCTGAGACTTCATACAATCAAATTTTTAGCAAATACCAGTACTGCACTGGACCAGTATGTCATGACGTTCCGACTAATTACCCAAATGTACCCAAATGTAGCCAAATATAGCCGCAATGAAGTCAAATAATGGTCCTACATGAATAAATCGGACTGCTAATCACTTCTCGACTAGTATTTGGTGTCAGAAAGTCACAAAATATTGGAAAACTTACTTTAATCTGAGTTAATAGATCGCGTGCATGTACCGAGAGAGCGAAGAATTACCCAAATGTAGCCAAATATAGCCACAATGAAGTCAAATGATGGTCGTAAAAGCGTAATTCGGGCTGTGAATCACTTCTCGATTATTATTTGGTGTCATAAAGTCAAAAAAAATTGGTAAACTTAATTTAATCTGAGTTGTGTTGTGATAGGTTAGGTTAGATTAGGTTAGGTTAGGTACATACAATTGATCTATTAACTCAGATTAAATTAAGTTTACCAATTTTTTGTTACTTCGTGACACCAAATACTAGTCAAGGTTAGGTTAGGTTAGGTTAGGTACATGCACTCGATCTATTAACTCAGATTAAATTAAGTTTACCAATTTTTTGTGACTTTGTGACACCAAATACTAGTCGAGAAGTGATTGGCAGTCCGATTTATTCATCTAGGACCATTATTTGACTTCATTCCGGCTATATTTGGGTACATTTGGGTAATTAGTCGGACCCCAATAATTCTCACATGACAGTAATGTGTAATCATATTGCTCACTTAAGTTCACACAGTTGTTAATAAAATGTAATGTCTATCAAGAAAAAATAAATAAACTTTGAAAAATATGATCATCTTATAATATTTTATTGAAAATATCGAATCCAGGAAAAAAAGCCAAGAAAACAAGTCACAGAAAAAAGGGCACGGAAAAAACCAAACCTAACCTAAGTGCAATGCCATCATATATATATAATGTGTTGTCAATGTGTACAAGTCATGTGACTTTTTTTCCTGTGGACTTTATTTCCGTTCACCAAAATATCATGGGGCATTTGACGATACTTTGAAAAAGTGTATTAAATAAATACTTCATCGTGGTTTGTACTTCAACAAGGTAGTCAAGAAATTGCAAGAGCCCTTTATAAAATTTGATCTTTGTTAAAACACACTTTTCAGTGTAAATATCTTTCAGGAACAAGCTGATAAGGAGAACATTTTTAAGATTCCCCTTATAAGAAAACTCACGAATGACCTAATCTGATATGCGAGGTTCTCATATGAGCTGTTCTGAGTGAGCCCCTCCCATGAAAACGTGTCCCATCACAAAATTTAAAACATCCTGTCCCACACTGCCTAATACATAATGCTACAATAATTCATCATTAAAATATACCAACATAAAAAATTTACCATATTACAAATACCTTAGAGTAATGATAAAATGGTGAATTCGTCCACCATTATCTCTAGACGCCAATGGATATGTTTTTACAAAATGTTTTTAGTCTATCCTTGGTTAACACTTCATAGAATGACATTAAGTGTATTCCTTAACACCCAATAAACAAGCTTAACTCCTGTGAACTAGTACAATAATTTTGCTAAATAAATCTAAATCTATCACTCAGATATTTTAATGTAGTCTTTATGCATTACAGCAAACAAACAGTCATTAAGAACCCGTAAATCAAAAAAATAATAAAGTAATTACATTATTCTACACATATACCCAAATAACAACAGCAATAGCACTTTAAAAGCAATACTTACTGGTGGTCTTACACTGGTACAAGATGTCTTTGTTGATGACGCAGTGATGTGGGATACTATACTCTCTCACACAACTCTACAACTGATGGCACAACTTCTTCTCACCGCCTATATAAACGCCTCAGTGACTCGGTTCAATTGAAGATCTGTATTCCAGCGATAGTTCCTGATGATTCGAGATGGTTGTATGATGATGACACTGAACTGCGTGTGGTGGATGAGCGGCTTCCTGCTGGAGTATATAGGATGGTGAGTGGTGCGTCATCCTGGTCATGCGTTCTTATAGTTGCCAACGGTCCTTATTTTCTAGTTATACTCTCATTAATTATCTTTTATTGGAGGAGAAACACGGTATAGCATGTATTATTATCATTATAGTTACCGAACTTTATTGGCTTAAAGTGTATATTCTAGCTTTAAATGAAAATATTATGATCCAGAATTAATTTAGCAGGATTTGGCACTTTTAGGCTATCAGCTGTGGAACTCTTGTTTACAAACATATACCCAAGCATTGATTATTGTGAGAAACTTTAAATGCAATTATTTTTAATGGTTCACTACTTTTGGAATTTAAACGAAAATACTTCAACAGAATTTAGTACAGCATAAAAAATACATTGAGCTTTCCCAACTTCTTAAAAGAGTTTGTAGGAGCTTAAAATGGAATTTAATACGATACGCTATTGACCTGTTTTGGCTAAACGGAAATGTTAGTTAATTTTAAGGTATTGCAACATGTTACGTAATACCTGTAAGGTCACGAAGTAAATCAGTGCAGAATAAACAAAATGCTCTATAACCTGGCAACTCCCGGTAAATGTGCCACGTCTGCCTGAATGAGGTTTCAACACAACACAATACATCTACCTCTACACTCAATCACCAGTCAAATATATAATAGCCAATACCTGAATACAGTACTAGCAAATATTATTGTTTCATTTATTGCAACACGCTGTGAGTGCACTATACTATACTATGCTCATAAAGGAAGGATGTATCCCGTATTAAAATATAGAGCAATGAACATAAACATCTTAGCATGTAACAGGATCCTACATGACCTCACGCCTTGACCTGACGCGAGTAGATCAGAGGTGACTCGGGTAAGAACTGTAACTCTGTGAAGGTTGTGATGATTGATTTATTTTTAGTCTATTATTTTGAGTTTTCTTAATATATCTGCCCCCCATAGCGATGACATGCACATTGACTACGTATCTCCGCCAGGAAGGACGTTGTTACCTATCAACCTCTCGACCTCCTCGTCGCTGCACCTACCATCATCACACTCCACCCCCAGCCTGACCATCCTACCACAGCACGGTCCCCAGCTGTCATCAACACCCCTTCCACCTGACCAATATCCCTCCTCCTCCAGACAGGCCTAGCGCTTGGTTTATTAAGGACCTGCCACACCTTGCCATAAACAGATATATTGATCGGGAATCCCTCCCTCCCCCACACTCGTCTTGTCACTATATGTAACTTGCTGACATAATCCATGGCCCTTCAGGCAGTTATGCCCTTTAATGTATGAGTGAAGAAGGCAAGCATGAACTCTGCATGCTTCCCTATTGGGCACTATAAACGCTTTTGCGCTTCGCCTTGCACAGCATACAAGGGGGTGCTCGATAAACTAGCTCCCTCGTGGGGCAAATCTTCACATATGTAGGGCTGTGTATAAGGCTAAAAGTAACTGAGAAAAGAAACAAAAATATCTAAAAAGAGGATGAGAAGGTGAAGGAAAAGAGACGTAGAAAAAATGAAAAGAAACAAGGATTTGAGAAAGGAGGGGAAATACGAAAAGAAAGGAGAAATAAGAGAATACACCTGTAGTAACGATGCGTATTATGGAAAGCATAGCGTCATGCTTGGTGCCAGACACGTTAGGATAATATTACCTTTTAAGTCCACTACAGTATATGGTCTCCAGGATATGACTTGATGATTTAGAAGCTCACTGTCTTTGTCTAAATAGCTACAGGACGTGACGCATTTACTTAATCCTGTTCTTTCTATATCTCTGTACCAGTGCTTACAAAGGGTGTTGTTATTGGTGATTATTTAGACATTGATTTTGTTTGTTTAGATATTTATTGATATAAAATAGTGTGTGGGACTCGAAGTTTCTATAGGGCAGTAGTTCTCAACCTGTAGTTCGCAGGTGCTATGGAACCCGCAAAGGTTTATTAAATTTTTTTGAATTATTTGGGATTCTGTGTAAGAGTGAAATTAATGAAAATATGTAATAACTTAATACAACTGTTGTGTACAAGATGTGTGTATTTACCCCAGACCGGGCCCAGAGAGAGAGCCAGTCTTCTCACTGGGGTAAATACTCACGTCCTGTCCTAGAGTTAATGTAAAAGTATGTAACTGGTAACAGTTAAACGTGTAAAACTGCAATTAACTGTACAGTATATATAAGATTACTGTTTCTTGAATGTATACCTCAAAGTTTTGGCGCCCTCCACTATATTTACAATGATGAATGTGGCCCAGAGCCTACAGAAGGTTGGGGACTACTGCTATCGACTACAGACACGTAGCTGCTGGGCTCTGTTAGTGTGGCCACTGATCCTAATAGCAGACAGTTACTACAGAGTACATCCTGTATATCAATATACACTAACAATTTCATATATGTAGAAGAGAATTGTCTAGACGTAGGATCGTTAATACAACCTCCCATGCTTCTTATTTTGCCCAAAACAATTCAATGTGATCTTGACATATTTTTTATGTCATCAAATAACTTAAATGATGATCAGTGCTGTTATTAATTGGGCAACGGATTCATCACGCTCTGAACAGCCCAGGATAAAACTTTTAGAAAGCCAGTGTTGCCAGCCACTATCTGGGATGTTTTGCCAATACCAACATGGCCGTCGTGAGCTAAAAGTGGCTTCACTGACCGCGGCTGGCGCTGTCCCCTTCCTCTCATAAAACCTCTTTGGGAGATAGTGGTGGGGGATAAAAGGTAAAAAAGGTGAGGTGCTGGGTGGGGTAAAAGGTAAAAAGGTGGGGTGTTAAAGGAGGGTAAAGGTAAAAAAGGTAAAAAGGTAAAAAGCAAGAGGTTGGGTGCTGGGTGATGCTGGGGTGAGTCAAATAAGTATGTGTGTGTTTATAAAAGTTCCTTGGTTAAAACCCAACAACCAACGCCCCTCTAGCAACAGGAGAACGACACTCAGCCATTAATAACTCCAACTCCTCAAGGTTAAGAAGCTTCAACTGTCCTATATGAGGCTGGTCACTACACGGAAATTACTGTACTTGTAGTTTATATCCAAGTCTGTACCTGTAATATCACCATTTTATATAAGAATTTCTGTACTTCTTCTTTGTAATTGAATCTCCATTACTCGGATATTATTGACTTGTCTGAATCAACCTGAATCAACGTACATAAATCAGAATCTCTCCTTGGTTCAGGATAGATTCTTTAAAGTTTGTGAGTTAATTGTATCCTGTTAGTTTACCGATAAGAGAGTTCGTGCGTCCTGTAAGAGTGACGGTGGATTTTTAATGCTTATTTTGGTTGCGATTTTTAAGTTGTCGTTCAAGTTTGGTCATCTACTGTATACATGTTAACTCGCGAACCTCTAAAAATCCACGATTCTATTTAACTATCAAGTGTCTTTTGTTATATAAATTGTGTTTATGACTTATAACTTTGTGTTAATATGCGTGATGAAGATATTACTAAAAAAAATTAAGCAACTTGGTGGAAATCATGACGCGACATCTTTGAACGCAAGTCAGCTGAAAGTTTGGCGCCATGGCTGATTTTTTACAGATTGCCCACGAGGGGGCTAGTTTATTGGGCACTCCCTTACATCCTGTGCAAGGTGAGTCTATGTTGTTTGCATGACTTCATGCATTATGGGGCGTAAAGGCTCATGGCCGTGGTTTATTAGCAAGTTATATAAAGTGATAGACGATGAGTGTGCGTGGGGGATTCCCGGTACAATTTATCTGTCTATGGCAAAGTGTGGCAGGTCCCTAATAATGTCAAGCGCCTGGCCTGTCACTAGGAGGAGGGATATCTGGTCAGGGAGGGAAGAGATGTTGGTAACGGCTGGCGAACGTTCGGATACATTCCTCTCTGACCCTTGGCGCCCTTGATCGCATTGAAGGAAAGCATGAACTCCACATGCTTCCCTGTTGGGCGCTGTAAACTCTTTGGCGTTGTGTACAGGATGCAAGGGGGTGCCCAATAAACCAGCCACACTCACACACCATCACACGCACTCACACACCATCACACACACTTATACACCACCACACACACTCACACACCACCACACACACTTATACACCACCACACATACTTATACACCACCACACACACTTATACACCACCACACACACTTATACACCACCACACACTTATACACCCACACACACACCTATACACCACCACACACACTTCTATACACCACCACCACACACCTACACCACCACACACACTTACATACACCACACACACACACTTATACACCACCACACACTTACACACACACCCACACACACCACCACCACACACACTTATACACCACACACACTCCACACACCACCACACACACTTATACACCATCACACACACTATACACCACCACACACACTTATACACCTCAAATTTCTGCCACATACTTATACACCATCACACACACTTATACACCACCACACACTCACACACCACTACACACACACAATTTATACACCACCACACATAATTTATACACCACACACACACTTATAGACCACCACCACACACCCACACACCACCACACACACTTATACACCACCACCACACACTCACACACACCAACACACACTTATACACCACCACCACACACTTATACACCCGACACACACACTTGTACACCACCACACACACTTATACACCACCACCACCACACACTTATACACCACCACACACACTCTGTACACCCCAACACACACACACTCATACACCACCACACTCCTATACACCACCTACACAAGCACTTGTACACCACCACACACACTTATACACCACCACACACCTGTACACCACCACACACACTTTACACACCACCACCACACCACACACCACCACACACCACTTATACACCACCACCTTCCACCATACACCACCACACACCCACACACACCACCACACACACCACCTATACACCACCACACCCACTTATACACCACACCACCACACACTCACACACCACCACACACACTTATACACCACCACACTCACTCATACACCACCACTCACTTACACACCACCACACTCATTTATACATCACCACACACACTTATACACCACCACACTCACTCATACACCACCACACTCACTCATACACCACCACACTCACTCATACACCACCACACTCACTCATACACCACCACACTCACTCATACACCACCACACTCACTTATACACCACCACACTCACTCATACACCACCACACTCACTCATACACCACCGCTCACTTACACACCACCACACTCACTTATGGATTGTGTATGTGGCACCAGCGCAGGTCGGCGAACGTTCAGGCATATGTGTTTCCTCTCTCACTATGTTTATTATGTTCATTTGTTCCTACATTAGGGGGTGGAGGGCAGGGTTATACGGAAGAAGCAAAGAGTGATAAACAATGGGAGGACAGAGAGAGAGAGAGAGAGAGAGAGAGAGAGAGAGAGAGAGAGAGAGAGAGAGAGAGAGAGAGAGAGAGAGGGAGCAAAGTTGCTAAGAAGGAGGTTGGAGATTGGTATCCCCACATCCCCTGCGCAACGCTCTTGTGCATTATGCAGAAGACCCGACAGCAGCACCCTTATCCACTACCTCCTAAGATGTCCCCACACACAACGCTTCCGTGACGCCTGCTGGACCACCACTCCACGACCCCCTGACGGAGACACGATGATCCTCCCCATACTGGCCGGATGTTATGTAAATAACATTGATTGTGTGTTAAAGGAATATCCTTCCTTCCTTAGGCTTTAGTAAGCCCCTTTATAATATTTATACTGTATATACTTGTCACACTTGCCAGATGCTTCTGGTGTTATTGTACAGGGGTACCTAGTGACAGCACTAGGATCCCGCTTCTTCTATCAAGGAATAAACAATTTAAATTGAATTTGAATTGAAGAAGGTTGAAGAAAACTGTCAGGGTAAACTTTTTTTTGAGTGAAAATTGTAAACTCTGGAGTCAGTATATCTGTAAGGTGGAGTCCCTTGGTCTAAACAAAGAGCCCCAAGACAGTCCGGAGATAGCAGTAGGCATGACCTTGGAGGGTAAACAGGTTGAGGCGCGAGTAGACAGGGCTGAGTCACAGGAGCAGTGACAGCCAGCAGCGGTGAAGGAGGTGGCTCACAGAGGGCACCATGGGGCGTAGGTTGGTGATGACAGCCTGTAGGGATCCAAAAAACGGGAGCCAAATTCAAGAAACTATTAAAACATATATACTACCAAACTATTGTGAACGATTATTTTGAATTTTTTTCGGCAAATTAATATAAATATATAAACAATTAAATTAATAAGTAAATTAACTTGCGAAAGTGTAGATATTTCGACTCGTGGTGCAATTGGCATTTTCCCGTCACTTGTACTGTATTTATCTTCTGTCATTTCCTGTTCTTTTTTGACGGCACTGTACTGTACTCCTTAATCTACCCCAAATGGATTTACAGACCGATAGATGGTTTAATAGACAATAGAGATAGATGGACTGATGGAAAAGAGATGGATTAATACATAGACTGAGGTATGACTCGGAAGATTGACGGGTAGATGATAGCTAGACTGGTAGATGAATTGGAATATAAGACCGTTAGTTAGATAAATAGATTCATAGTTAATGCAGAATAAATCCTACTCGTTTCGCAATACTGTACAACCCTAGTAAAAACAGTAACGTGGCAACTCGAGGCCGCTACAGTCATGTGACAGCCACACAGCTGCCTCGTGACGTCACATGCCTGAGCACTACAAGACTAAACCTGATCTATTGGACTTTTTTTAATCTGCTACTATAAAAATATCCACTTATATTCATAAGACAACATTCTCCACAAAAATATCTGGACTCACCGAGTTATTGAGATTCTGATTTATTTATTTTTTTTATAGTTTTCTACATTGGCAGTGATAAGCGTTGTAGCCTTCGTAGGTACAATACAAAATACAGTATTATGAATCTTATGTTATTTATTTACATAAATATTTACATTTATAGATTAAAGCGTGTCTTATGGGTGTACCGGGGTACTTGCTCCCCACACCATGACTGGCCTCCAGTGACTCATAACCCCGTGACTATTTTTTTTTTCAACCAGGTGGTGACATCATTTCTTTTATTAAATGTTCCTTAATCCGAATTCATTATATGTTTCAAGAGTATATTTCAAAATAAAATATTCGTAAATGGTCTGTGTATATATATATATATATATATATATATATATATATATATATATATATATATATATATATATATATATATGAAATTGTGTATAGTGCGTCATATAAGAACATAAGAAAATAAGGAGTCTGCAATAGGCCGGTTGGCCTGTGCATGGCAGCTCCTGTCGAGAGTTACTACCACTCTCTATCATCCATGAATCTATCTAGCCTCCTTTTGAAACTTTCCAGAGTTCCCGCACTTACTAGAAAGTTGCTAAGCTTGTTCCACTCGTCCACCACCCTATTTGTGAACCAGTTTCTTCCTATCTCCCTCCTAAACCTAAACTTATCCAACTTGAATCCATTGCTCCGAGTCCTATCCTGCTCGGATATTATAAGAACTTTATCTATATCCCCTTTATTGATTCCTTTCACCCACTTAAATACTTCTATCATATCTCCGCACTCTTCGTCTTTCTAGGAATGCAAGTTAAGTTTCTTTAACCTATCCTGATATGGAAAGTTTCAAGTCCCGAATCATTTTGTCATTCTTCGGCTGCAAACTTTCTGGTAATTTATATCCATTCTATAATAGGGGCACCAGAACTGAACCGCATAATCGAGGTGCGGCCTGACTAGCGCAAGATATAGTTGCAATAAGACCTCTGCACTCTTATTACTTACACTTCTAGATATAAAACCCAATACTCTGTTTGCCTTATTTCAAACATTAACGCACTGTTTTCTAGGCCGTAGGTCCGGGCTTACAAGTACCCTTAGGTCTCTTTCACAAGTCGACTTCTCTAGGTTGATGTCACTTAATTGACAAATAATATAAAAGTAACATACAAATATGATATATAATAACAAGGGAGGTGGTCATACAACAAGGAATTTCAACATGGTAACAATGCAAAAGTAAGATTGGCTGGGGGAGAACACACTCGTCAGCTATGAGTTGTTGTGAGTACAGAGGTGCCTGACCTTTGACATTTCCTGTTACCGAACAATTACTACATACTTTTTACACTCTTCGCCACTGTTTGGTCGGCCACGTTGGCGAGTACTGTGCATGTACTGGCTCCTGAATATATCTGAACCTCCTTCAGTGTTGGTCAAGTATGGCCTTGAAAGAGCTCACAACACTCCGGCAGATTGTTCCAAGAGAATACAAGTCTCACTCCCCAAAAAGTTTGACCTCATTTTTTTGGACTCGTGGCTTCTTCAAACTTGAGCTGTGACCCATTGTGGGGCGGGCATCCGCCGGCTCCAGTATGAACACGCGACTGAGTAGTGCCTACGAGATTTTTATAAACTTTTATTAGGTCGCCCCTTGCTGGGCAGTTGCAGGCGTTTTAATCTCTCTGGGTAACTGAGGTGCCATATTGCAGGCACCAGTCTGAATCAGTTACTTATCACTGATTCAGTAAGTAGTAATTTGTGTTCACTCAGGCATTGCTTGAAAACTTGCCATTACAAAGCTTAGAAAAGATATCTTGCTTTAAAACCTAGAGAATGTACATTTCCCAAACAAAGTTCAGAGAACTTACCTTGCCTACAAAGCTTAGAGACCTTATCTTGCCATAACAAAGCTTAGAGAACCTACCCTGCTTTAACAAAGCCTAGAAAACTTACCTTGCCATAACAAAGTTTAGAGAACTTAGCTTGCCTACAAAGCTTAGAGAACTTAGACTACAGTACAAACACTACTAACTGAATAAAATCAAAAGACTCAGTAAGCAATTCAGGGAATCTATCAATTTAATTTGTTGCCATTTTCTGTCCACATTTGTAGGAGTGTGGAACTTCTATTGTGAAACATGTCATCAGGGTAAGCCTGGCCTGGACTGACCTGATCTGACACAAGGAAAGTACAGGTAACTGCATTAATCTGATGACCATAATTTATGTTCACTACTTAACAAGACAGCACCTGTCAGCCACGTCTTTCAGTTCTTGATACACGGACTTAAAAAATAATAAAACAAATAAAATAATCACATGTGACTGCTGCAAAACCCAGGTGACTCCAGCAACCATATGAGATTTATGGGAGTCCAGTGGCCTTATGAGCTATATGTGACCCCATCGACCCCATGACCTCTATGCAACCCCTTATGATGCATCTTGCAACCCCATTTGGGATCTTGAACCCGTATTTGGGAACCGCTGGTCTAGAGGAAGGATTTTTGTGGTGTTTGTTCCTTCAACACTTGAATTGACTCTCAAGGTGATTTATTTGGGGTAATATAATAAATAACAATGGTCATAAGCTTTAGTATATAGTCTTTCCATAATTTATCTAAAAATAATAAAACATGAAGAAATCAGAATCAGATCTGACTCCACTTTTTTCATCATAATCTTTTTCACTTAATTACACTGTAAAGATGTCCTGCCGTATTTCTATATTAACTCTCCAGTTTCTTCCTCAGTAGAGTTTCCTTCAGTAGGAGAGTCAGTGTCAGAGTTTGATCTCAGTTCCTCCTCATCCAACCCCTGACCCTGGGCTGCTGTAAGAAAATAAATATAAAATTTCCAGAAACAGTACAAGTTGGTTACCATGGAAAAGGATTACATTTAAGACTGTTTGTGAAACTGATGAAAATTGATAAACTTAGACAAGAAGTAAAGTTTAAGGAAGTCTAGATCAAAATATTACAAGTTGAGAAATAAACCAACAAAATATTGTTACTTAAGAGATAACTGAACTTACTTCTCTCAGCAATAGTTTTCTCTATAAGGTGGGACATGATGTCTCGACATTTGGCTTCAACGCCGGCTGGTAACCATCCAAATTTCTCTGAACAAACTTTGTTGGCCCCACTCAAGATGGATTCCTCCAAGAGTTTCTGAATTTCAGGGACTTGGATGTCACAGTACTGGAAATCAATTACTGTTACTGAGACTGTATACAGTATTTGCCATAACAAGCTGTCATTAAGAAAAACTCACATAGATAAGGGGTACGTACCTGGTACTTGGCATGGCATGAGTTTGATCTACAGCCAGGCAGGATAAGAGAGGAATTATTGTCCATGGAGAATACAGAGATGGTCACTGTCAAAGCCATACTAGCTGGCTGGTCGCTAAGTCAATATCTAGGTCACTCTGTCATGTCAATAGTACAGTATTCAGGCTGGTCACTCTCATGTCAATGTCCTGGACTACTCATACCCATCTTACCTAGAAACTGTGTCTATAGCACTGTGGGAAATAGGATGCAGTTTGTATCATAGTTATAAAAAGAAAATGCACATTATCAATAAATGTATGGATTAACTCATAAATATTGGACACTTTAAAAGGAGTTGGAAATAAAGTGGTCCCTCTCAAATGTGGGATTTGTACATCTATATTTTGAAATGTTTGAGGGGTTAATTTGTATTTTTTTTTTAAAGATTTATGAGGGTCTTCTTTGTAAATTTTGAACTAATGTCAGGAAGTAAATATACTCAAATAGACAGCAAAAGCCAAATGTTTGAGCACACTCAGGCAGATACAGCTTGTTTATGCTTCTTCCTCTATCCAGATGCCACGAGTCTCTGCTGTGAATATACTGTATAATGTATTATTATCAATCATCTGGCTTGTTCTTCTGGCCAAAATTGTCAAGCTGATACATCAACACACCTGAGTAAGAAGAAGCGAAGGATGTGTTCATTCCTGAATACCCAGAAGTTGTACACATTTTGAAGCAACAAGACTTTAACCTGTATTTCCCTAACACAGTTTCCTTCCCTTATTAAAGATTTACACAAGTTTGATACATTTTCAAACTGAACTGTAAGGGCCACTGTACTGTATTCTAACTTGGACATCTGGGCAACACTGACACCTGTGATATATTGTTTTCACTTCATAACCTACCATGGGTGTGTCTAAAACTAATTTATTAATATCCTTTTATCTCTCCTAAGGTTGTTAATACTGGATATTTACAATACCTGATAAAACATCTGTCTGTATGGTGGAATCATCCCAGGTCGAAAGATGTAAAGCTCCTCTAAGTTTTTGTCCACACCAGCGGCCTCTTCAGTACCATCCTCACCGGCCTCACCAAGATGAAGTGACTGGATGACTGAAGTCTGCAGTAAAAGGTGAGTTTCAGTGGTGTAACCAAACATGTATGGATATAATATTACTTCTCCTCTTCATCTTGTCATATTATTTATCATTTAATTGATTGTTCATCACTTGTACTTCCATTCTCAGCAAACACAAGAAAAATACAGGATCTTGGAGGTACAGTCGCCTGCACTTATACCTGGTACAGTGGCTGGCGTGTTTTTTAAGATGTGGCAACTCTGTGTAATGTTTATCTAGCATCCTTAGTCAAGCTACTATTGCGACATTCTTTAGAGCCATTCTTGAAGTTTAACATGATATAAAAATTGCCACATCTCCCAAAACACGACAGCCACTGTACCATGTATAAGTGTAGGCAATTGTACCTGAACTACTTTCCTTTTCCACTACACTTACTCAAAAGAAATTAATTATATTTTCCCAACAACAGATATTAAACTCCATCTCTTAAGAAAGCATACCAAAATGAATGTATTATTATTATATTAACTTTTAATTCTTAGGGTTACACTATAGTTGATCACCAAGAGAACTCACTTTTCTTCTGGAAGCATTAGAGCTCTTGTAAGGTAACACATAGTTGGAGTAGCTGCGTTTAGCCTCCACCTTTGTTTTCACACCACCTGGAAAGTAAATAAGTACTGTACACTCTACTTCATAACATCAGAGGCAAAATAAGTACTGTATACTCACTGGTTCATAACATCAGAGGTAAAATAAGTACTGTACAATCACGAGTTCAAACATCAGAGGTAAAATAAGTACTGTACACTTACTGGTTCATAACATCAAAGGTAAAATAAGTACTGGACACTCTACTTCATAATATCAGAGGTAAAATAAGTACTGTACACTCTACTTCATAACATCAGAGGTAAAATAAGTACTGTACACTCTACTTCATAACATCAGAGGTAAAATAAGTACTGTACACTCTACTTCATAACATCAGAGGTAAATTAAGTACTGTACACCCACTGGTTCATCCTAAAGGCAAAGCGATACAAAATATATCACCCAAAGTTTTACACATATTCTCTGACTTTACATCCATCAGTTCTCACACTCCCCTTCCTCCCCCTTTCCCTAGTCACCTTCTGATCCTAACCCGGTGCAACCACACAATTCCACTAAACTTAATGTTAAACTTCCGTCTGTATTCCACGTCCATTTTCATTTCGTTTTTCTTAACAATTATTTATTAATTTTCCTGCAGTTAGATTTGACAAATATTTACAAAACGAAAAAGGTCTTAATACATTATCAATCCTTTTCCTCCAGATATACATAAATATTTTATAAGTTCATTTTGACAATAATTCTCTCAACTTCCTGGTAAATTTACTGTATTACTATTCACACTGGCCTGCATCTAATTGCCAAACTCAGACATGAGACTTTTTCAGTTAAGAATAAAATATATACAACCAGAGTACATCAGTCTACTAACCTGCCTGCCTGATGCGGTAGTCAAAGGTCTGGTAGATCCAGGCATTGGGATCCGTGCGAGGGTCAAAACCTAACCTGACCCATAAGTTCCTCCATGGGCCAGTGTGGAAGTAGTAGGACAGTGTGGGTAGGAGGTACTGCCAACAGGATGACCAGATTAATATATCAACTTATAAGTAATCCAATATGTCAACTTAAAAATAATCATAAGTCTTTATCATGACAGAATTACCATCATCATAGATTTAAGGTAATTTTTCCACTCTTGCGTGACTTAGCCATGAATACCTGATGACATGGTGTCCCAATTGCCATCAGGTAAATTTGAATTAAGTTTTATGACTGGATGTCTTTCCTATCATGGATAAAGAAGATAATAGGTACCGGTACAGTAAATATATAGAGCATGTTAGTAAGTATGCTTTCAGATAAAAGTCTGAGTTATTTTCTTCACAATGCTATGATAAGACTTTACTCCTATTGATATTTAGGTCCCTATTAATTGCACGTCCTAAAATTTCAATCATTTAGGGTTCTCGAATATAAAAATGATGCTGTATGATTTCTCTTATATGCTGTTTATTTCTACATGTATACAGGTAATTGATTTTGGGAAACCTTGATTCATTCTCTGATTTGCCAGCTTTTATAGGATGACAGAGAAATGCAAAGTCTCTGTGCATATAAAATTCAATCCATCTCTCTGGCTATGCTCAAAATATTATGCAAAACATGCAGTACAGCTCATCACAGTATAAATCATGATACCTCTTATCTTCATAGTCACTGATTACCTTTAGTTTATCTTTGGTATAGTCCAGCCTGACCCTAAGGGCGTTCTTTGACCATATGGGGCGCTTTTCAAACTCATCCTTCAGGCCCTGGTAGAGTGCATTGTCCATGAATTTGACACGTATCTGTGACATGGCTCCTGGCAGTGGATCCTTTGGCACTTCTTCATCCTGAAATTACGTGTAAAATTTAACGAGAGACGGGGAAGGAAGGAAGAGATTACAATCACATATACTGTACTCAAGAGATATGCAGCTAGTTGAATCAGACGAAAGGTTTAGGTAAAATTTCAAGAGGCTGGGGATCATAATGAACAAGGTATACATACATACATACATACATACCCATACATACATACATACATACAGTACATACTCTAATTCATTAAACAAACAGGAAAAACTATAAAGGCCTTTGATTGATGGAATTAATATCCTGTAGATGTTTATAAGCTATTTAAGGCTAATTTAAGAGTTTTCTACAATAAAAATATGAACAATTCACACCAGCTCAGGCATCAGATGATTGGTCAGTTTGGACAGTGGCTGGTAAAAAATACAAATCCTGATGTTACATATGAAAATTATTTCTAATTAAACCACAATTGTTGACATTACCAAAAAAAACCTGGTGACAAGTGGTGCTTTAATGAAATAATTTGAGGGCTAACAAAAATGAACTTTAAACCAGCACCATTCAAAACACCTCAACCCTCACTGGTATCACACCTAGAGAACTTTTACACGAGCAATACTTTATGTATCATTAAATAAATCGTAGACTGAACAATCTTTACTGAAATTACATAATGTAATACAATTGCAACGATCTATTTACTCTATCGGTTGAAGTTCATGTGTCCAAATGGAATGTTGATTTATATTTTGTATTCATTTCGATCTACTACAGGCAGAGTAATTTCTCAAAGAGTATTATAACTATTACGTTCAAGTAGTTTACCAGAGCACTGACCTTGAAGGAATGAAAGATGGCGAAGTGTGTCCTTCTCTGACGGGTACGACAAATAATGTTCTGGGGCATTTTCGACTTGCTGTCACTGTTTGCCTCTCTTCTGTACCGGTAGTCCTGTAGGTAACATAAAACACTTGAAAAACATCTGAAAATGATTATGAGTGAGTATAAGGCTTATTTCTGTTGTCTATGGTAATGTATTTGAGGTCAGAGAGGGACGTGTTATGTTTCATCACTTGTCGCTCTGTTGGTGGTGAAGTCTTGGGTTAGCAGTCATGGGTTGGGTTAGGTTTAGAAGATGAGTACAATCGGGTATGAAAAAAAAAATTCATAGGGTGATCTTTTGACGGAAAAGTGTAATGTACTTGATGACTTAGCATAAAGCCTGCAAGAATTACCAGAGTAGTTCCTGATAGCTTATTAAAGAATATCTAATAGAATTCCACAGTATTGTTAAAGAAATGACTGATGGCATGATGAGAGAATTCTATTAACTGAGGTGTTGAGACAGTGATATGAATCTGTACAGTGGTGATATAAAGTTTAGTTATATTGGTGATGAAGTTGTTTTTAATGAGGAATGTGGAGAGCTGTAACTACTGGCCCTAATGTCTAGTGGGTGAAGACATTATGATTAAAAACACACAGAAATCTTGAGAAAAACTTAGTTAAATGATCATACATAAAAGTAATCATTCTTCACTGAAAAACTTGTTTATTAAAAGCAGCAGCATTTCCGGGTGATACCTGTGGAGTGTCCATGCGGGTGAAGGCAGCAGGAGGCAGGTACAGAGGTGCAGGCTGGTTTAACCAATCAGCTGTCTCCATTCCTCTTGGCACAAGCTGGTCATATACACACACCTGGTTCTGACCATCATCAGTGCTCACCAAGGGAACATACTGGAAGTCACACAGATCTGGAATAAAGTACCATGTCAAGTATACAGTATATGAATTGTATTTTACAGTACCATCGCTGATAACACTCAGAACCATCGCGCTTATAATAAGGTAACTCTTTATAAGTGAAAGTTGTAAAAAGAAACAATGTGGGCACTTAACTTCATTTTTGGAGCTATAAATGTACAATATATCCTAAACTTGCTCTTTATCTATACATGTAGAAAGAGAAGAATATTATACACATATGATATTAATTTCCCTTGTTCTGCTACACAAGTCTCTTTCTCTGTTCATTTTATCTTGCCCACTAAATTTTCTGCCCCATTACCCCCGTGAACTCCCTTTTCTAAGGAGATGGACACTTGCTGAAGCTCCCCTAAGCAATTTACTCCCTGACTATCCTCTAAGTGAGTGTTCTATATTTTACATCTAAACTTGAAACATACCCCACTCAGGTGTACAATAATATAATCTTTCTGACTGACCTCTCCTGTAATAATTAATGAACAGAATAAAAGCACTCATACAATAATCTCTTCCCCTAAATATGTAAAGGAAACAAACATGGAGCTTGCTTTTTATATACAGTACTGTATCAAAATGTAACCTGAACACAGAAAGACCAAACTTACTATTAAACTTATATGTAGTATGGACAACTCCAATCAGGTCTGTTTTGATTCTTGTTGTAGCGTCATCTGGGTTACTTGTGGCTGGTTCCTCTGACAGAGCCAGGGGGTCTACTGCAATTAATAAATTTCATAACATAATCTTTTAGAAAAAATGGATACCGCCAAATATTTTTAACACTGTACACAATACATTCAGCATAAATAACTGACAAGAGATAGGAAACTTTATTAAGGACTACTGGTGGGGACAAGTTATAAGTGATACACTCTTATTCTACAAATTATATGCTGGTGGAGGCGACAAACACAGCATGGCATAATAGTTAGTGAGCTCAAGCACACGGAAAAGTAGATCTGTCAGGAACACAGTAGCATTTGGATATGTGTCCAAAGATAATTTTTCCCCAGGGATGTGATGAGTAAAAGAAGCTGCATTTAAATTTGAGTGAACAGTATTTTATTTTATTATTACATGGCACAATTCACAGTCAGTGTAAGCTTCTCTATGTACACTGTTGGAGTCTGACTAAAGAAACAGATGAGACAGATAACAACAAACAGACATGATTAATAAATTCTATGTCTGCTGATACTGGGTGTTATAGTCATGACTGGGTATGAATATGTATTCAGAAAAGGTGGTAAAGATCAGCATGAAAATAAGTGTAAAATGTGTGGATTAGCTAAGCTAAGTGTCTTGGGATGTCTGTAGGATCATAAGATACTGAAAAGTGATGAATACCATCTAAGGTACAGTACCAAGTAGATACAGTGTCACCAGGCTGTACTGGTTGTTGAAAAAATACAAACTAAACATAAGATGATGGGACTGTTTATGGTAAGTGACAGAATGTGGGAGAACTGTTTATCACTATCATCATTACTCCTCTCCCACTATTGTTTGGGGTGGATCGTGGGGCAGAGAAACCCCACACAAGGGAGGATACAACAGGGAGAGTGATAGATAAAAAAAAGTGTGGATATTATAATAAAATTAATTATACAATATTATACAATATTTTTTATATTTAATCTTCAGTTTTATCAATATCTCATATCCCATAACACTTCTCAAAATGTCCATGTCTACTATCTGGGGCCTTTAGTTAATTAAAAAAATAGTAAATTTTAAACAATTTGTGAGGTTGAATGACTGGCTTTTTTAATGAATTATAATATCTAAACACTTTTAAAGTGACTTAGAAAACTAGTTATTTTGAGTGAATTATAAAAGTGAACAAGCAGCTCACCTTCTGGTTGTGGCTCTGAGTCGCCGGCTTTAAGCTTCTTCTTCCTCCGTACAACACGCAACAACAGAGCAGTTGAATTGTGACGCTCACCACACGTTGGCTTGCAGTAAACGTCATTTGGACGAAATCGTAGTTCCATTCGCCGATTATCCTCACAGTAAACCTAAGACAGACACTATGCAGAGTGAATAATTAATTATTGAAAGAAACATCAAAGCATCAGATAAACAGTACCTGTATAATACTTCTATACCACCTGAGATAACTCTGAAACATTTTTAAATGTAGTCATAACAAAAATTATTCTATTTTATTCGAGATGACAGAATGTCTGACAATAAGAAATTTTACTTCAGAAAAGATGACATCTAACAGACCATTTCATAACTATACAGTACATGATCCCAGCCCAAATTCCTTAGGACTGTGTACAGTAGTGTTTGAATTACAGATATTTTTGGGTTAAGGTTACAGTATAGTACAGTACTGATATTTCCTAAAGGTATAGATTGAAGTTGTGCTATTTCATAACTTTAATATTGGTGTTTTTGTACAATGAATGTAATATCTAGATGCTATTTGTATGTACTGTACCTGTAAATGTATACAGGTAAAGGACTGCTTATCCAGTATCCAGATATCCAGAATGCTCCAAAAACCGGCTTTGTTCTGGAACGACTTATTTAAAATGAGCGACCAGTAATTTTTAGGCCGAACAAGGAAATTTATGACTGTTCCCAACCCTTGTGCTGTATTGTATGTTATGTTATGGTAATTATTCAGCTCATAGTTTTGGGTAGGTATACTGTACTGTATGTAATTTTCTTACTTTTTTTTTTACTCGGTTGCATACACACAATCCTGCATAAAGTGAAAAAATTTATAAAAATAAATACTGTAATTATCATAAGGTATGAAGTTTTAAGCATCTACGGATTTCTACCATGAACCTGTGTGACTTGTGTGTGGAGGTCAGAGGGGCAGAGCACCATTGCTAGGGAAGCCAGCCAGGCAGTGTCCCCAGCATCCCTGAGATTGTGATGCAGTAAGTTTGTTGATTTGTATAATGATTTTTTTTATGCTTTCATTATTGTTGGTTATAATCATGAGGTCAGAAAAAAACAGGAGTAAGTGAAAAAAAAGCATTAACCCTTGAATTCCAAATGGTAAACACTTACAAATAGAAAAGCTGTGGCCTAAAGAAACTCACCGTTTTGGCAGGAATTTTGAAATGGTAGGCAATCAACTTTGGGATTTACAGACTGGATACCATGTACTGTAACAGTCTTGTAACTAAACGTTAAAAACTGAAGAACAACATAACTGAACGCTCATATTTAACAGGAACGTGTCTCTTACCTCTGATATTTTTTCAACACCACCTAAGGTTTCAATCATTTTATCAACGTTTTCCACCAGGCCCGGGTACTCTATACACATAAACTGCCTCAGCTTGCCCGTGCTGTTAAATCCACTCCCATGAGACATTTTGAAGTCTGAAAATAACAGGTACGTTTTAGATTGATGACATCACACTGTCCTCTGTTAGAGTATTGAGTGGATGACAAAATACTTAACTTCTACACTTCCACAATAATCAATGCTGTTTATATTTGTGTAAACTTTTAATTTTTCAAGTGGGGATTTTACTGCTAGTGCCCAAAAGATTTTATCTATATTAACCATGAGACTATACCACTAGCACAATATTGGAAAACGTGCTTACTGCTGCACACACAAAAACCATGAACATTGTGGATACTGTATACATTAAGCCTTCAGTTTGCAAGGCCTGCTTTCATAAATATAAGTCAGTGGTAAATCCTAAAATGGTAACTCTGGCCAGCTGCCATAAAAGTACGTCAGTGATGTGGTCTCTTGTTAGGGAAGAAGCACTACACCACTGCCGCACCAAGCTCTATACTCAGTCACAAGTGCTACAAGAGATAAATAATTAGAATAAGAAGAGAGATTAAGTTCCATGAAGGTAAAATTGATAGTAAATCATCACGCTAGACTTACTGCTTTGAGACGAGTGTTGACAACGTCGTGTTTACAGAACATTGATTCTTATACTGTAAAAAAGAAATTCTAAGTTTGTATTTATTAGGATAACTAAGGCATTATTATATCAATATTTAACTCTTAAAAGTACTTCATAAATAATTTAATTACTATTATCTAAATATAATTAGGAGATTATTGAATATAATATTTTGAAGATATTTGTACTTTACTAGATAGAAACGAAGCTTTACATCAGTTCGTCGCTTATAGTACAAATATTATTAATTTAATAGAAAACTTATACCTTTTAATGACTAACTTATTTGTTTTGAGGTAATTCGATTTATTTCTTTATTATTAATCACTCATCATGCTTTACAAATGTTTTAATCGAAGTATATAAAGAAGAAGGGTAATGAAGAACAGGAGGGCTATTAAACAAATATATTTCAGTGATAGACAGTCAAGTTAGGAAGTAAAGATGTATACAGGAGGTAAAATTAAACTTAAAATGGTTTCCTTTTGTCTTGTATTGTCCGGTAGAAATTTCGAAACGTCAGTCTATGTAGCTTATATCTTATAAGTGGCGTGGAATTACGTATATGCTGAATTATCGCGAAGTTATATAACGATTTTACTTAATAAATATCTACCTATTTAACAATTCATTCACCCCTCTCTATCCCTATTAATCGATCTATCTCTCTGATCTATCTATACACAGCGGGTCAACGGTGGGGGCTGTCAGATACTCTCGGGGGCCACAGATGACAATAAGAAGTAAGACATTGTATAATAGCGGCCAGGTAGGAGGTAGGATACCCTTGACTGTCGGCTAATGAGCGGCTCGCCATAAACTCGGGAGATAATTCTGGAGGCCACCTTTCGCCTTGTTGACAGTACAGTACAGTCTTACCCCCAGTGGTCATTCAAACTGAGATATTATTATTATTATTATTATTATTATTATTATTATTATTATTATTATTATTATTATTATTATTATTATTATTATTATTATTATTATTATTATTATTAAGTTTTATTGACCTTGCTACTCTCATTTAGTACCGTTATTATCACCGCCTCTATTATTTTTTCTTCTTCTTTGTTGCTCTTATTAGGCCCAACTCTTATTTATTATTGTTTTATACTGCCATTGTCATTATTACCAGGTATGAATTCCCGAAAATGGACCCCCTGAAGATTAGACACCCCATCATATTTCACCTAGAGTTTAACCATTCTAGCGCTACCTGTTGGGGTTAGGTTAGCGTTAGGGTGTCTAATCTTCAGGTGCTGCAGGTTTTCGTTGAACTTGCTAGGAATACAATGCGGGTTCTCCCGAAGAGTTGTCACGAGTCAGGTAATGGCATGATGCTTCAAGACAACACCCACCTACACTTACCAACACCCACCTACACCTGCCACCACCCACCTTCACCACCCAACACCCAGCTACACCTGTCAACACAACCATCAACACATACACAACTAACACCCCCTTCCCCCACCATCCAAACAATACACTGTACACACGTCACCAAACCAAACATCCACCACTACACTACCCGGAGATAATGACTGTACACATATCCTCACCCATCGCCACGTCAACACAATTTATCCAGAATTACTTTACAATCCACCCTGGCCACATTGGAGAATTTCTTTCGACAAATTTGGACATTTTTTTTACTATTATTATGAATATAACTTAGAATAATGTTTAATGACTGTAGTATAGAGGTACACGAAGGAGTATATAGTAACATATTGATAAACATTTTCATAACAGCGCCTTCTCATCTATTCACTTCATACTAAACATTTACCCAATACAAACAAATGAATAATCTTTCAACATTAACTTTTAAAAATTTTTCTTGGGATTTTCTTGGTTATGCAAAGTCTATACACAGTATATGCTGAACCTATACAAGAACTTGCACGATAGTAAGATCAAATAAATATATACCCAGTATCTCATTAACTTCACACCTCCCCACACCCCCCCAAAAAAAATTCTGGGAATGTCAGTTGATGGTGGCCCAATAGTTGAAAGTTCATCAGCTTTACATCCATATGAAGCATCGTCTACAACAACAAGGGCTGTGTCACGTTGTCTGAAGGATTGACGGCAAGAGCAGGAAGTGATGATACCAGGCTCTACCAGCTAGCTCAGCTTCCGGCACTAGTAACGTGTTGTTTCCCATTTACAATATTGTACAACCCTCAGTCACATATCTAATATTCCACAAATAGAACACTGTATACGATTTTATATATTAAAAATGTGATTATGTTATTTATAGTATATTTTTCCTCAATAACATATAATATTTCACAGATATTATTTAAAAAAAATGTATAATATAATATAATAGAATATCTTAAAACAATTATTGAGGATGAATGTAAGTTAACAGGATATGCAAAATATAGCCAACATAAGATTCGAAGAACAAAATAAGAGGCGACATAATTATTTGAAAATAGAAAATAATATATTGAATAAGAAAGTTGATGAACATTCTACAGTACAATTTACACGAAATATAATACATATTAAAATGTTATTCATGTATTCAATTTAACATTTTTTAAATAAAATTATTCCCGGATCTGTGACGAATTGAGTTGATGTTTTTTTTACTAAGATTTCAAAGTGATTAGGAGGATATCCGTATCCTCAGGAGAGCGGACTGCGACAAATAAACAATCTTTTACAGTAATGATGAAGTTCAGAGTTCAACAAAATAACACGTCACTAAACCTACAACCCACACATTCAACATCACCCTCATGCACATACACTACACAGCTATCAACGTTAACACACATCCAAAGAAATTTAACAATCCATCTAGGCAATAACAAAAAGATATACGATGTTTGAAAAGCGAATAGATGAGGCTACGAGAAGGGTGCGGGGTGGGCCTGGGTGGCGGAGGTTACCAGATGATGTTGGGAAATGGATTTACTCTGATAGAACTAACATTAGAGGAGGAAGAAGAAGACCAGGATGTTTTTCAGTGATAAGGATAGACCCGTGTAGAACAACTAATAACAAGAGTCAGGAAGTGAAACCCTAGGAGTAATAAAAGAAAGGAACAGGATTAACTGGTAGTATGTAGAGGAATGTAGATACATAAAACAAGAAAATGTTGGGTGAGAATGTAAACACCCGTCGAAATAGTTACAGAAAATCAGAGAGACGGGTTCGAGGCATATAAATAATCCACTTTATTAAAAAAAAAGATGTCAAAATCACGGATGATAGCTGATGAGACCATATTTGTTACCATTTAATACAAACGCCATAAAATACCGCAGTGAAGATAAATGTGAAACAATATAAAGGTATTAGGCGTATCATGGGGAGGGAAGGACCAGAAATATATAGTAAAATACAAGAGATCGCGGGCCCTTCGTGCCCGGTGAAAGTTTGAACGCTCGTGCTTGGCTAGCGTACAGCAAATGAGGGTGCACCAAGTCCGTAGACTTGCATGGTTAATTAGGGTGCGCCAAGTCCGTAGACTTGCATCGTTTTCCATCGTAAATAAAATGGTTAATTTATGCCTTCCTAAAGAAACCATCGACATGGGACCAGGTTTGTTCCACTCTACGAATTTTTTGCGATTTTTCCACCAAGTTTGATGGAAAACGACTGTGCCGTTTCGGCTGCCCAGAACAGACAGACAGACAGACAGACAGACACACACACACACATATAACTATTCCTATAGTATATTAGATGTCCAATTAAACAACATTGATATTGAGAAGGCAAGTTTTTTTCTCTCTAGGGTCACTGATAGCCACGTAATTATTGAAAAAGAAGTGGTGATGCGTGGCAGTGAAACAGCGTCCATAAACAAGACACTGGAACACGCACCCATCTTGTGTCTCAACTTGAGTGTACTACAAAATCCACGCTGGACAAAATATCCTCAAACAAAATCTCCCTAGAACAAAATCCCCCTCGGACAGAAACCTAACCTAACCTTGAGAAACATTAATGTAAAAAGTGGGACGATTTTATCCTTCTCTGCACTTTAACTGAGGGAATTTTGTCCGAGGGGCCTTTGGTCGGGGTAACTCTAAACTTGCGATACTTCGTTTATATGGAGGAGAGACGACTTTGTTGATATTATAATACATCACTGCCCTCTAACAATTAAAGTCTTAAGTGGGGATACTACGTGGTACTTAAAGAACTAACAGGAAAATTAATGGTAACTTGATTTAAAACAGAACAGAGAATGCGATGAAAAAGTACAAATTTTGCCGGGTGAGTGTGTCGGGATCTGGCTCGAGTGACGATATACATTGACATTTTCTCAACCGCAAGATTATATCAGTAATTTTATCATTTCGTGACCAGTTATCGCAAGACTAGAGAATTCAACGTAATATTGAGTTCCGAGATTTTTTTTTTAGTTTAATTGTTTTATAGTTGTACAGGCACTCAAATCTTAGGGGGGGT